AAGACAAATGGCGGTGGAAGTAATGATGATGCTGTAGTGGTGGTGGAAAGACCCTGGGCCTGGTTGTCGGTTACAGTACTTAGACACTGCTTTGGGTAGATCTAATGAGAGTGCACTCTTTTGACTTTTGACGTAATTACGCAGTCCTAGTAGGCAATTCTAGTTCTAATTCTGGAATTACGTAAAATCCCCCGACGACAGTTATTTTGTAACCTCCTTACACTCACGTAATTCACTTACAAGCTGAGTCCGAATCAAGGAGATTAAAAGTAATGGAGGATGCTCTGTGGGCGGCACCGCACGCCTGATAGGAGCCCTCTCTCGCTGCGGAACTGTGGTCTACCTGCGCTGCGCTTACGCACTGAAATCTAGATAAGAAAGAAGGTTTTATTCCGAGGTCCTTGAGATTAGGCAAGTCAATTAGTAAAAATGCCTTGCACCTGTGTTGTATTTAAGTGTAAGAACCGATATGATGCTGCAGTGGACCGAAGTTTTCACAGTTAAGTTGTTTTCCTTAAAAAAAATTTGAATAAAAGTGTTTTATGCCCCCAGCAACACAATTTAGATCATTAACATTCATAAGAGGCTGGCTCCGGCGCTACCTGCCAAGGCCAACCCAGGCTGAAAGGGATACAACACCCCAACAGAAAGACTGAGATGCACTCAATTTTTTAAAAGTATTCTTATTCTTTTTCTTATATATATATATATATATATATATATATATATATATAGATATATATATATATATATATATAATTATTATGTGTATATATATAATTATTATGTGTGTGTATGTATACTAAATTATACATTTTGGGGCTCTCGTGGCCTAGAGGTTAAGGTGTTGGCCTCTCATTGAAAGGTCCGGGGTTCGAATCCGGGTAGCGACCAAAAAATTTTCTTCTCTAAAATTGTCTCCTTTCACCTCCTTTCCTCCTTTCTAGCAATGTTCTGTTGTCTGCTTTCATTTCCACTTTCTGCCCCCACCCCCTCACCTCCTTTGCCCCCTCCTCTGGGCTCCTGACTCTTTCTGCAGCCTTCCTACTGCTACTTCTTGGCTCCTCCTTACTGCTGTCTTTCTGCGACACCCCTGATCTTCTGGTAGGAAAGATCTACACCTAGCCTTCTCGGACAAAAGGCGAAAAATCTCGGAGGGCCCGTGTGCAAGTTGGGCACGTTAAAGATCCTTGGTGGTCTAAAATCGATAAGAGTAGGCTTCGGCCGCCACCCGGGCAAAATTCAAAATTTCCTACCAACTGAAAATATTAGGTGTGTCACGCGCGTTCATATGACCTTTATGCAGTTGCGAACGCCGTAAAACACTTTACAAAAACAAACAAAAATTATACATTTTATATAAAGATAATGCTTTCCATTGTGTGTGCAAATTAGATGCTACTGTTGTCTAAATGTAGATATCTAGAGGCTCCATTAGAATATGAAATCAATACTCAACAACAATAATGATGAATATTTTCTATGTTAAAGAAACACCAAACCATATCAGATGAGGGGAGAGGGTAGGGTGGGGTGGAAGAGTTTGAGTCTTGTTATATAGAACTATACTCGGTTTAATTTTATTGTTGTAGTTTTCACCTAAGATCCCACAATCAATACTTCCGGTTCACTTAAGATTCTGCTGTTAAAAAATAAACCAAACGAAGCAACAACAAATTTTACTACACAAGAGTCATCACTAAGATAAATTATCCCCCTCTGGAGTGTAATAAGGGACTAAAAACGCTGAACTCCATATCATACTTTACTGAACAAAAAAAACCCTTCAAAGGTCATCCACGCTCATGCATGGGATCACACCCCCAAAGGTGCTGTTATCTCTTTTTTTAAATATTTGAAATCATTGTGTGCTCCACTTTGTGAAAACCAGGAAACAAAAGTATTGTGATAAATAATATTATTCTTTATAGACCAAGACATACTGTTAGCAATCAGATAAAGCTGGCATCGACCCTTTTTTGTGTTCGCTATTCCTTACACATAAAGTTAGTTATGGCACACGCCTAGAATCATGCAATCATATCTTAAATTCAGTTAGAAAGTATATTTTTATCCTTTTCTTATAATTAAATATTTTAGCATCTTGAAAGATTATCTTTATAATTTGGTATGTTTGATAATTTTATGTTACTTGGACAAGTTTTTTTTCTTACTTTACACATCTTTTTGATTTTTAAACTAGATTATAACATAAAACTCTTAAAGAATTGAACAGTCTGTATCACACACAGAATTTATTATTTTTTTCTCCCAGTCATTATCCGTCAGCCCGTCAGTTGATCACAATCTCTCTCTCTCTCTCTCTCTCTCTCTCTCTCTCTCTCTCTCTCTCTTTCTCTCTCTTTCTCTCTCTTTCTCTCTCTTTCTCTCTCTTTCTCTTTTTCCCTCTGTCTGTCTGTCTGTCTGTCTGTCTGTCTGT